TGGCCTCAAAATTTGTTTCAACGCACTCATCTTCAATTTCACACAGAGTTTTATCAGAATAATTGCTAAAGGTGCTCTCGACTGCGAATTTGAGCTCAACATTTCGGATTTTTCACCCCAAAATAGCTGTTTTTTTCACTAGCCAACTCAAGTTGTAATACAATTTCCTAGTGTCAAAATACTGCGTGTTCCCCCGACCCAGTCCCTCTGCGCTACTTTATTTTCAGAATTCCCACTTTGAGCCCCTATATCTCAAAAAGTAGAAGTTTAAATCGAAATCTAATCTAGAACTTATATTGTAACTTTTTACGCTCTATCCGAATCATCAAAAACCCATTTTGGGTTCATAGGGACTTTAAACGGCGGATAAGTTCAAAATGGAAAACCAAATTATCTATTTATTGAACAACTGAGCTGAAATATTTCGATGTGAATAGTTTAATTGTCAATGGAAGTGCATATTAAGTGCATAAGATGCAGGTTCAGTCATTTGCAAGATCTATGAGAGTATTTTTAAACTTCGGCTTATCCACCGTTTAAGCTAAACGCCTTACGAACAACCGGCCCCTGGATTGCAAGGTTGCTGTAGTCATTGCTTTTCTGCACACTTACAGTAAATGCATTTTACGCATAATTTACACAAACTTATGATAATTGAAGCTAAATCTGACTTTGTGACTTGTGTTCACTTTTGGATGTAATTTTTTAATTGTAGGTCACAGAATTATTGGCATGAACTACGGAACGTGTTTGGAAGAAAAAGGGATGGTGCCAGTCATAATTGTAATTGGAGATAGGAATGTTGTTAAGTCTCGTTCAGCGAAATGAATGTTGGCTGCTACTGGAAGAAGTAATTTCTTCTATTGCAGAATATCAGACGCGATGCAGACACAAGTTTTAGATGAATGCGCCTTACCATTCGTTCTTGATGATGCAGGAAAAACGTCTAAAGAGAAAAACCAGCGAAGGAAAGCACCAAGAAAATGATTTCAATGAAGGTGAGGAAACAAAGGAAATAGTAAACGCTGACAATAGTGCATTCCTGAACGAAGGTAGGTTTGTCAGTTCTAATTAACGTGTTATATTCTAAAGCAACATTAACTGGTTCCTATATATTTGCAAAAAGTTACATTGTTGTTATGTTTAAAAAATAGAAAATAAGTCGTTCAAGTTGATTGAAAAAACACGTAAGAGGAAAATTTCTAGTGTGGAGGAAGGAATCCCAAAGAAAAAAAGGGATAAAAATAGTATGTTAATTCTATGAATAATTTTGTTCAAATTAATAGGCTGGCAGCTGTGTGTAACATTTTTTTATTCCCCATTCTTTATTATTTAATTTAATTAAAAATTAAGTGGAGTGAGAAAAAAAAAATCCTGAAGATGCCTGCCATAAATTGCACAAAATGGATGTGTCGCTGTACCTTGTGGACTTGTTACTGTACCCCGGGCGCTCTAAACAGGTTTTGCACTCTAATTATATATTCAGGATTGTCCTTCAATGCGAAGGAGTGAAAGAAGTTCGAAAGAAGCGAAGCTTTGAAATCTGAAAATGTCTTTTAGTTCTAAAATTCCAGTATACAAGAAACGTTCTTTGCCGATCGCTAGCAAAGATATCAGAGTATTGTAAAGGATGTCAAAAGGAGATAATCATTAATAGCCGTTAAGCTCAATAGCGCGCAAAATATAAAGGCGCAGTTAGGCAATTTTGCTGCGGATGTAAAGACAAGCACAAAGGCAAAGTCCAAAGAAGATCCGAAAAAAAACCTTACAAGGAACCGGCTATTTCTAAAAGGACAGGGCCTTCTGTCACGTTGACCAAGGCACAAGAGAGAAGTGTAATTCGCACACAAGGAGGAAAGGAAAGGTATCTATGTTAATCTTAACTATTTAAATATACAGTGCATATTGATGTTGCAGCATTTATATTGATTATTTACATTAGTATAATCCAGAGAGTATAATCATACTGACATTTTAGAATTACTGTTTGTCTGTTTCACCCTTCTAATATAAATAATCTGTGTAGGTATATGGCATCTACGCTTAGTTCCCGACTATCAGTGCCATGTGTGTCGTATAATATACACAACACTACATGTAGAATTTTTGTGTGGCCGACCAATTTACCTAAAAAGTAAAACTTTGTGCTTTATTTAATAGTAATATAAGTAATTGATCTTTCCGTACATGAAGGACCAACCTACTTGAATATTGTTACTTTATCCTACACATCATGCTTTAAAAACCAAAGTGAAAGAAATAATTATGATGAAAGTAGACTTTGTCCAAGGGAAGCAACTTGCCAGTGATACCTTGATGTCAGTCTTAGAGGAGGAGTTGCCAGAATGCAAGGGACTATCAAAGGCAACTCTTAAGACTGATCTCTTCATCTCTAGGACTTAAATTGTCATATGTTAGAAAATCTCGGTAAGTTGAGCGAATTCTAACTTGTGGTGCAATGTTTTGTATTTCTTATAAGTTACACATATTTTTTGGTTTCCTTCCATTAGATCCTCCTGTTACAAGGGTGATGTTAAAGGATGATGCAACTGTTTTAAGTGGTAAAAGCTGGAATTAATCAATCAATCTGCATGTCATCACTAATACAGCAGTGTAGCTAAATTTGAATTTGTTTAGTTAATCTATTGACTGGATGTATCCTAAATTAAGAAAGTATGTGTTGCGTTTTGTCTGATGTTACCCTGATATGCTTTTTATTATATATTTTACATATGCCAGGTCCATATCTGCTAGCCTTTTCAGTGAATCACCTAAATCTAAAATTGCAAGAGGTAATTATACTGTATAAATGTAACATGCATACAGTATATAAGACCAATTTTTTTCCCATTTAATTAAATAACTAGCAGGAGTTTTTTATTAAGCCTATGGTTATCACTTTAACCATATCTTAGTTAAACATAGCATCATTAAAATTCTATATTGTGTGTTTTGCTTTGATATGATTTGGTTAAAGTGGAAGACGGTCCTAATAATACTTAGCTTACCCCTTATTACAGGCATACTAAAGTTACAGTTGTTACTAACTTCAAGTATCATTTTTTGTATAGAAAGTGATTGTGTAGGAAATGATGTTATTCCCATTCTCCCAACATCCCCAATAAAATGCTGCACTAAGCTGCTATATTCAGGTTAGAAATGAATTATAATCTTTGATTTATGTAACTATGTTCATGCTAGCTCTGTATATAATACCTCATCATATGATTTCCATATTGATTGTATTGTTGTAGATGATGAACCTAATGAAAACATGTTGGCAATGATGGATGGATTTACAAATATCTAACCCTGACCCTGGTAGGAACTTTATTATTTAAATGTTTCTGGCACTATGTCTTTGTCATTAAATTAGTTTTTAATTTATCTAATCAGGGGCTAGCACCTAATATGAATCCCCATAATACACAGTAGCTATAGTATAGGACGAGTATACACATGTTACTTTCTTTTACAAGAACAGTTTGCACTCATCAAACAAGATTTGGGTGTTGCAAAACAAAGGATTGAGGAACTCAACCTTAAATGCGGGTTTATTGGAACATTTGGCACAGTTGGGCAACAAAATTGAGTTGTATGAAAAGACAGCAAGTGACCTTATATCAATACAGGATGAAGTTATAGTCTCATAAAAGGAAATAGCGACCTTAAGATTAGACGACGGATAATAGACGACGGTTGTTACGGACTGGATCTAGCCTTACCGTCGTCGTCTGAGGGCGGGAAATTTAAGATTAAAAAATAAACAGACGACGGGGAATTCACAAAAATCGAAATGACAACTTTCAAAAAGACCAGAAAATTTTTAGTTGAAAGCTATTTTGATAACATTATCGACGACGAAGAGTTTGTGTTGTTGTATGATAGTAATTTTTCCAAAAATCCAGCGTTTCCTTACCAAGAATACGGCAGATTTTGTCTGGAAAAGTTGGAAAACACTGAATGCGAAGCTGAGCTGCGATTCAGAAAAAATGATATACCTGAGCTTGCTGAAGCTCTTGGTATACCTGAATATTTTAAATGTCCTCAAGGAACGAAGGCAGATGGTCTTGAAGGATTATGTGCTGTTCTGAAACGCTTTGCCTATCCTTGCAGATACTCGGACATGATACCACTGTTTGGCAGGGCAGTTCCTGAACTGAGCATGATCACAAATGTAGTTGTAGACTACATTTATGATCACCACGGCCACCGAGTTTCTCACTGGAATGAAATGCTTTTCAGCCCTGATAATCTAAAAGATTATGCTAGTTCTATTTTTTAAAAGGAGCTGCACTCAATAACTGTGTTGGGTTTATTGATGGAACTGTCCGAGCAATTTGTCGGCCAGGGAAACTGCAAAGAGCTGTCTACAATGGTCACAAACGTGTCCATGCTATTAAATTTCAATCTGTTGCTCTGCCAAATGGAATGATTGGTCATTTGTATGGACCTATGGGTGAGTAGGTTTTGAGCAGTTTTTTTGTTTATTTTTAAAGATCAATTTAGCATGGTTTATTCTTGGGTTAACTATGTATATACATGATGGTGCATTATTTCTAATTTGTTCAGAGGGAAGAAGGCACGACTCTTTTATGCTTGCACAATCTGGTCTACTAAACCAACTTCAAACATTTTGCTTTACTGAAGAAGGCCAACCTCTATGTCTATATGGAGACCCAGCTTACCCATTAAGGGTACACCTGCAGGCTCCATTCAGAAATGCTGTTTTAACTCAGCCGATGAAAGAATTCAACAAATCTATGAGCAAAGTTCGCATAGCAGTTGAATGGCTTTTTGGAGACATCGTGAACTATTTTAAATTCATGGATTTTAAAAAGAATTTAAAAATTGGCCTGAGCTGTGTTGGGAAAATGTATATTGTTTGTGCAATACTACGCAATGCATTAACTTGCCTCTATGGAAATCAAACCTCAGAGTATTTTGGTCTAAGCCCTCCCACTCTACAAGAGTATTTTGGGAACTATTGACTAAAGACATTGTAGATAAAACATTTATTGCACACTCTGTAAAGTACAGTACAATATTAAAACCATATAACCTTAAACGTTTAGTTATCTCAAGACTTCATAGAATAACAAAACAATGTTCACTGTTTTTTTTAAATACTATGTAAAAACTAACAGTTTTTAGAAACTATATTTCAATATAGTCCAAGCTAAAATGGAATATGAACACTTTATATATATAATAGTTTGTCATAGCTTACTTTCTATGGCTCAGCTGTGTTAACAAAGTCAGAATAAGATCATTTTGTTGCTTTTGTTGTTGTTGTTGGATTTGTTGTTGATTCATCATCATTTGCATGAGTTCATCATGTTTCTTGCTATCAGCTTCCAGCCTCCGTTTCTGCAAATCTAACTCTTCTTTTTTCCACTCATTCATTACAGCAGATTTTTCCCTCAAATAATTAACTGCATCACTGCCGTTTGATCGCCTTTTTACTGGTTTATTGGCTTTATTATCAACGAGTTTTCGTTTTTGAGTTTCACCCAACGTCTCCATGGCCATTAATCGAATCGATTCAGCATCTTCTCGATCTTTATTTTCTTTTTGCAATTTTTGCTCAGTAACATCCTGCTGATTTTGATCTGCTGCATCTTCAACTTCTACGATATCCTCAAGGGCCTTATCGATTTCACTAACGTCATCAATTTCGATGCCACTGGCCGATTCTTCGTCCTTCGTTTTCTTTCGAAATTCTCTTGCAAGTAAGTTGTATCTTTCTCTCACAGACCTTTGGTTGACTCGGAACGATACGTGCTGAACGCTGTTGAGATTTTGTGCAATCTCATTCCATTTAGTGCCCCTCTGTACTGTCCTTCGCCTTGTGCCTGTAAAGGGATCTACGACCAGGATTTCCCTGCACAACAGCTCGTCATGGTCTCGCGACCAAACCATTTGCCTCCTTAAAAGATACAAGGAAAAATCGAAATTTACACATTGATTCGACGAAAAACTCACACAGGAAAATCATATTTCTCCATCAAATCGAGAAAGACAAAAATTAATAAACTTACGGCTTTGGATCCATGAAAAGTAAGAGGCGTTTTCTAGTGAACGGCAAAACAGCAAAAATGGCGTCGTCGTCGTGATGTGGACGGAGCAATTTCTTTCAAAACATTTACTGCGCATGCTCAATAGTTCAATTCATTTCCGGTTACCGTCATCTCCACTAACCGTCGTCTAATCTTAAGGTCGCTAATAGTTGACAGTGGAAAACTACTGGGAGGTCTGCTCTCCATTTCGGAAAAAGATATGATAACTCAGGAGGTGGAAAAGATAAGAGAGATTTTCAATCTTGGTTTAAGAAGCAAGGGTATTGTTGATATAGCAGAGAAATTTGATCCTATGTTATTCTCAAACATTGTTAACAAAGTCCAGAATCAATGTCCAACAATAACTAATATCCTGGAGCAGCTAGTACTATCTAGAAACATATCAAGAAACACCCTGAAAATGGCAGACATGAAAATGAAGGCCTCTATCCATCTGCTGGCTTTACTGTTGGATGTACGTGACCAGCATGCTGGCAATGACATACCTGTTCTCTTTGGTTTGGTATGTTTGTGCTACGGGGCTGGCCCGTCAATGATTGAGATCATGCAACATTTAGGACTTTCTGAATCCTTTCAAGTTCTGTAGGTCTCATCATAGTTTACAATGATACCTTTGCGTCCAATTGCACAATGTTCATATTATTCTTTTATATTTCATTCTAGGACCGAGGTCTTAAAAAAGCAGCCAGAGAATTACAAGGCTGTAATAAAACTTCCGGACGGCAGATGATAAACCAGTTATAACCTACCAAGACAACCTCCAGTTGAAAAGAACAAGCATGCGTCATCTTCGACTGTCAAAGTTACAAAAGAAAATGAAGCAGAACAAGATGTGGGACTTTACAGTAAGAGGCTGGCGGGTTGCGGGAACGGACGGGATTGAGGAATTACTCAAGGTCAAAAGTACAGGTTTGGCACCTCAATGAAATGTTAAGTCTCTTAAATTTGAGGACACAAAGATTGGTGAGTATTTTTGAAGCGACCAAAACAAATGCAAAAGAACACTATAATGTCACGCCTGTTTAAAATAAATCTGTTTTATTGTATAATTGTATGATTCTTTGTAGAGTCTAGCAAAGATCATTCAGAAAAGTGGCACCTCTACCAAGAGAGAAATCTTCTACAAAAGATGGACTATGCACTCAACACTCTCACCATGTCGAAGGACGAACTAGAGAGCGCGTCCGATGACGCCCTAAAGAATTACTCCAATGCAACATCAAAGAGTTACGATATAGTGGTTCCGGCAGCTGTGACTGAATACCCGCAATTCGCCAACAAAACAACAAAGATTTACCCGTTGCCGATATGGCACGAAAACCAAACGAAGATTCTGGGTGTGGCTGGAAATCTCAATCTTTTCAAGGACGAATTCAAATTCAAGTCGAAGGAAGATAAAAGATATCTATCTTTGCAAAACAGTGGAAACACCTTTGATTTGGATCTCGCCTAGGAACGATACGCCTTCATGAAATCATTGGGACGGCACAAAGAAGCACAAGCGGAGCTATGAAAAGGTCTTGCGGCATGAACCTTTGGACAATGAACTGTTGGAAGATGATGAGGACAGCGAAAGTGATGTTAGCGAAGATTCTGTCCAACTATGTTACATTTGTAAATAATGTTCTTTAAAAAATGTAAATATATTATATTATCCCCCATTTTAACTATTTTACCTAATCCTTTGTTGTCGCAACATAAAACACCTGCAACTTATATGCTCAGAACATTAAGAGAACTAAAAATTTTATAGCGAAGTTGTATCCTGCAGGTCGCTTTTTTATATATAATTACAAGTTATGAGCCAACCCTGTTATAAGTTTAATTGCCAGTTTTCGTTAAGTTTAATTGCGAGTTTTCATTTGAAATAGATTATATACTCTACACTATAGATAAAGCTGGCTTTCCACTTGTGGTATTTTTTGCACAAAAAAAATTTATTCTTGTGTATTTGAGCAATTTGTTCCATGACCATTGTTGCGTTGAGAGCTCTGAAACAAAAGTAGAATGTCGCTTCGAGTGAAAAATATTGCTATTGGAGCTGCCTAATGCGAAAATTGCGGTAACACGGTTCTACATAAAAAGGACTGCTTTGCACGACTGCTCAGCATGCTATTGAGACAAGGTTCATTGAGGAACACATGACCAGTGTAGAGCATGTGATACAAAACTAGTAAAATAAGTTCTCCATCTCCATCCAGGTATTGAAAATAAATATAAAAACTATTGTCTTATCTCAGATGTGTGCAGCCCTCAACAGTTCAATATCAAACGTTAATGTTGGAAATTTTACCACAGCTTGCTGTTTAATTTCATTCTAGCCTATATAATTATACTGCAATAAGGATACTTTCAACACCGGCAGAAACCCTGAATAGCCTAATGAGGTGTATCGGTACTTTTTGCAGCATACTACAAACATATAACTAAAGGTAGAAAAAATATTCAATCATATAGGCGCGTCATGTATACACATAAACTGTGTCTATGTATAAGGTTTCATTCAACATAAACTGAAAAAGGCTTTCAGACATGGTAAATTACAGCTTGTTTTCTTAGAGTGATTTAAGAGCTAAAGTTGGGCTAAAGGAGTTGGATGAGAGAACTAACAGTTTTTTTAAAACACTTTGTGATATTGCGTTATATCTTCTAGCAACGTAGCATTATGCAACAAGATTATAGATCTCAAGGATAAGTGGTATCCTACCACAGATCAATACGAAAGAACTGTTTTGCACTTGGTCACACTAAATGGGAACACAAAGCTTGTTGTTGGTTTAATACACTCTGGGCACATATCAACGCATGGGATGGTATTGGTCAGACTGCACTCACACTTGCACTGCATAAAGAACATTTTAATACAGCGAAAAAAACTGATTGAAAACGGGGCTTCATTCGAGAATAAGCTGTTCGATTCAATACCTCCACTTGAAATGAAATAGCAAAAATCAAAGAAAACGAATATTTGATTTCTATGATTGAAGGGAAAATTGCAAAAAGAGAAAGAAATTAAGAATTGCTTTGCATCGTATTTTCAATCGTACGACAGTAGTTCACATTGTGAAACCGCAAATGATAATAGTAAGGAGAAAATATGTCATAATTATGGAAGTATTTTGAATACCAAGTATTCCTCAACCCACTCATCACCAGCTAGTTGTCTGCCATCATTACCACTAGCATTCACTGTTCGATTCTGCTGGTAGAGCACTCTGTACGCCAATGGCCATTTTTCAATTGAGTGGGTTGAGGAATACTTGGTACGACCTGTGAAGCAATTTGCTCGCACCCAGTCATCATTTAACATGATCGAGTTTATGTAATGCAGCATAAATCTTCTCGAAATGAACAAGGCAAAATAATACATTTTAGTTCAACAAAGTCGACAAACACTGATTATTGTAGGAATATAACAATAAAATTTGCAACAGCAATTCTTAATCATACTGCACATAGAATTTGAAATATCTTTATTCATTCACAGTGATAATGCAAAGACTCAGCAGCTTATATCAGAAATAATCCAATTTTCACACCCGTTTTTTTATATATGTTGCTGTATATAATTTGATAATGAAACAGTTTTCCACATTGCACATTGTGTAATAATACTTGGTGCTTTGTAAAGGTGCTTCTGCAAGTATATTATATCAGACTATTGTTGACACATTCAAGTGTTTAGTCGCTGCAGAGAAAAGCTTTGGTAGTTTGGTTGCAAATTTGTGAACTATATCTGTAAAATAACACATTTTAGTTCAACAAAGTCGACAAACATTGATTATTGTAGGAATGTAACAATAAAATTTGCAACAACAATTGTCAATCATACTGTTCATAGAATTTGAAATATCTTTATTTATAGTGATAATGCAAAGACTCAGGTGTGTATATTAAATGTATATGTGATGTTGCTACTCTGAGTCACCAACCAGGCAAGCTGAAAAATTAGCTTTGCATTATCACTATTAATTTAAGACACACAGATATGGAAGGGGACTAGACTCAGTTCGAAAAAATCAACCACTCGAACCGTCTTGACCTTGTAGCTCAGTTGGAAGAGCATTGGACTAGCAAACCAAAGCTAATTTTTCAGCTTGCCCGGTTGGTGACTCAGAGTAGCGACATCACATATAATACATCTTTATTCATAATAAACACCTATTTGTGTATTTCGGTTTTACAATTTACCAAAGCATTTATTCACTACACAACAAACTATTTATCTCCATTTTAATTCCTGCTAGACTATTGCTTGTCGTATGTATTGAAGCGCCCGATTTTTATAGGTTCTTAAGTTTAGCATATTAGCAGAAACGCTACAGTGACTACAATAATGTTTGATATGCAACACAGTTTGCATCCTTTGAGGATTTGATTGTATATTATTATTCAAAAACATTAAAACTTTTTTGTTATTGTAGTTGTCAAGGGTGTCAGGACTTGTCAGGGGTGTCAGGACTTGTCCGGAGTGTGAGGACTTGTCAAGGTTGTCAGGACTTGTCAGGGTTGTCAGGACTTGTCAGCTTTTTGTGGATTTAAATGCAACAAGCTCTAGAATTGATTAGTCTCAAATAGTTTATATTATATTGTTTGTTATTTTCAAATGTTAAATACTCTGGTAATAAAAACATGATCAGCAAATACAAAAGTCCTTTTACTATTGTCAGGATGTCACATCCTGACAAAACTTTTACACTCTTTATACGAATATCAAATGTTGCATGGTATCCAGGCACAAGTTGAAGGTGTGAGAACTGATACGCGATATGTTGCCAGAATAACTTCACGGAGTTTATGTGGCAAGAACTGGTCGGCAAAATGCTTTAGGAATAAAATAAAATCGAAGCCGTAAGCAAAGCTACTTCATTTAATATTACCACGGGAAGCAATTTGATGTAAACAATTTGCATACTTTATAAGTGTCCTTAAAACAATCGCATTGAAACCTTATTTTATTGTTCACCTTTTTGTGTGTGTTTGCAGCAACGATTCCTTAGCAGGCTTAACAAGTGAAATCCCGTATTCTACCATCACATAATACAAGCTACTGTGAATAATCATGGGCCACAGAAGTTGCACGATGCGACATATGTAAATAAACATTTAATGCACAGAATACGCTTGAATTATA